TGTTACATGGTGGCATTAAGTGGTGCCGATGGACAGGACTGTCCTTACAATGCATGAGAACACTTCTGGTGAGAGTCTGGAGGGAAGTGGGAGGGGTCTGTGCTTCTCTTCATCAGACATTGCCACCTGTCTGATGGGCCACCAGAATCCATAGCATTTTCACCTCATTACGAGGCCTTGCAGGAGATTCTTAAATGAGGTGAAAGTAGTCGGACTTCAAATACAATGTTCTGTTTTTAGATTTTTTTCAAATTACTTCTCAGACTTATTGTTAGGAAGGGAAATTGTTAAATGTGGAAAGGACATGTGTTAGTTTGAGATGTCCAAATAGTTTTCGTGTCTGTTATGTGAATGTTCTGAGTAAGATCATTAAGCTGTAGTGAACGTTTTGGTGAGTGGTGAGGTGAGGTATATGGGGAAACACTTTGGGTGTCTTCTTTGGTAAATAGCTTTCACTACCTGTAATTACTGATAGATTATAGAACCACACACAACCAGGTAATTAGTCTGGAGGAGGAGGGGTACCCCTGACTCATGCTGCCATGATCCCTCCAAGACTTGTGGTAGTCTTGTTGTAGTACCACTGTTGTAATAAGTAGAACCCCTGTTGCAGACCAATGGTAGCCCTGTGGTACACCCTATTACTGTAGTAGCCCGGAGTGCCTCTATAGTAGCCCTGTGGTACCACTATTCTAACCTGTGGTTCCTCTATAGTAGCCCTGTGGTACCACTATTCTAACTTTTGATACCTCTATAGTAGCCCTGTGGTACCACTAGTGTAGCCTTTAAATATATCCTTCTTGTCACCTTTGGTGCCTCTATGGTAGCCATGTAGTACCATTATCTAACCTATGGTATATAGCCATGTGGTTCCCCTATTGTAGCCATGTGATACCCCTTTTGTAGTCTGACTGGTACCTACATGTATCTTTAAGCGTGCGTTACCTTAATGTAGTAACAAAATTCATGTACTCTTGAGAATGGGGCAGCTTTGGTTTGTGTTAAGTTAGAGTGGAGTTGAAAACCTCCTGTGACAGTTGGTTGTAAAAAGGTGCGATATGACCATTCTGAGTATTATGTCCACAACTGTATGGTCAGTCAATGTAATCTTATGTGACACCCACAGATTTTTTCTGTCATTGCCCCTTGGGTCTCTATTACATGGTAACGTGATTCATTATGACCCTGTACCAGGAGAAGTTGAAAGCCTGGATTAGAGTAAGCAGACTTACTGGTATACTCTTCAATGTCTTTATATTCATAAATCGTCAAATTACTTAATAGTCTAGAGTCATCCCTTGTTGACCTCTTTGGTCATCCTACCCATAAAAGGTGTGTGGAATTTAAGATAAACATGACTCAAACTTCAACTTCCTTAAGTAAATACGGTTTATTATTTCAACTATTTGTTTTTGTGGACAGTACAGGATGGATTTACAATCATAGTCTACCTGGTAATCCTACTGTCCAGGTAGGTGGTCAGCATGACCAGTACATAATCTCCTTCAGATCTCTGTCAGAATATATTGTCATGAGGAAGGTGACAAATACAACACAAAGACTGTGTGTGTGAATTACGAGCTGTTTGATTTGAATTATATGACAATGTTTAAGTAAAGTTTGCCTGATTGGGGCCTGAATCCCATTTTAGGTACATGCATTCTGCAAGATCTATAATTGACCTCATACACTCAATGTACTGTAAATATAGACATGAAGCATGTAATAAGGTCTAAATGATCAAACTTTTGGTCTAAAGTCTGTGGACCCTGTAATGTTCTTTGCATTAATATGAACCTATGTCCAGCGTTCAAGGTCTATGAACCTGCGTACAAAAATGTACAAGGTCTATGAACCTGCGTACAAAGTTGTACAAGGTCTATGAACCTGCGTACAAAGTTGTACAAGGTCTATGAATATGAACCTTGAACATCCTTTGTACAAAGTCTATAAAGTTATGTCAAATGTGCAAGGACTGTACATGTGTGCCTATGTGTATTGTGTAAGGTCTATGAACCTATGATCATTTTACAAGGTCTGTTGACCTGCCTAATGCACTTGAACTAATCTGTGCTGTGATATTGCCTTCATGCACTATGAAAGACCAACAATGAACCTTTCTGCATTGAGCAAGTTCTGCAAATTTTATCTTTTCTGCAACATCATCAATGATCAAGATGTCTACTTTCATACACAAAACTGGATTCAGTTTTTAGAAAAATCCATAAAATGTCAAACTTGATTTAGCTGCTGTATGTATATATCTTCCACGGAGAACTCTTCATCAGTGCTTACGTTGTTCTGGTCATGGGATTAATTCAGAGTACTGTTTTAAATCTTGGATATTGATATTTCTAACAAGGACTCGTAAATATTCAGAATATGGCTCCCGAGAGGCAAGGGAACAGCCAGGTCTGAACATCATGGTGGAATATTGATCAGCACACTCCATAAGTTAGGACCCTAGATTTTGACACGTGTCTGTGGTTTGAAACTCTCTGTGGACCTGTTGGACGGTAATAAGGAGAACAAGTTGGACAGCCATGGAAGTCTGTGAGGACTCATGAAATGGACACCCACTGGGCAGGAGGAGACAACTACAAGTACCCATGGCTTGGTAACTGATTTTAAGGTTGGAAGATTTAGAGGCTGTGGGCTGGGAGCTTAGATTAGAATGTTAAGGGCTTGGCGATAGAAAGAGAAAGTGAAGGTCTGGTAAGTATGCTGGTACATATATGCAAGTTCAATTTAAAAGTTTGATACAGAGAGATTAATAATTATAAAGGTTGACTGGATTTTGGAAGAGAGGAAAGGACTGGTATTTTTGAGGGAAGAAGCATCTTGCACTAAGGGAATACAATCAGAGAGGAAGAAGGAAATGAAGCTGGTGGTATATCAAAGTTGTTGACTATCAGATTGAGTTTATTTTTGGAAGTTTGTTTCATGGGGAAAACAAGGTGGATAGGATTAAAATCTAGGATGTTCAGAATTATCTGCATAGATTCATGATCCAAAGACCTGCTAAGCCCCAATGAGATTTTGATATAGGTGTTACAGCTGTTAGGTTGTCCCTGTCTATCCCAGAGGAGCTACTTGTACTTTGGAAACACCGTGATGAACTCAGTTTGTCGGGGAATTACATTTACCAAGCTGAAAAACAACAACTTTACCCTAGGTATCATTCAAACACAAACATAGACCTTGAGGTTGCATAGCCAGGCTTCTGCGGTAAAAATTGATTTCACAGGACCTCTACTAGCTGGCTTTAACCAGGTACCATTTACATCCCCAGCAGTCCGATGTTCCCAGACGCTACAAACACACTGATCAATACACAATCCTAGCTCAAACTTTCAAAGATAGAATAATTTGATTTTCAAATTTTCAATTCCGTTTCTGCAAAATGTGTCTGGTTGCAGTCTCTGATGTGGTTGATTTGAATGTGCTTTTTAAGCTTATGTATTTCTACTCTGCAACAAGTGCTAAAACGATTTAACCATTTTCATCTCATTTTTAGCATAGAGCCTTTGAAGGCAAGATGACATTTAATCACAGAAATGTTAGGTCTAAACAGCTGTTTAGGAACGTGGAGCACAATAAACTGGGCCGACTTTGTTGTCTGAGAGTGGGTATTACTTGGGTTAGCATTTGGTCATATATCACCTCCAAGTAATACGCTGTCAGCCACAACATACAGTCTCAAGCTAATTAAATACATTAACAATCTCAACACTCTTTTATAAATGTTTAATGGGGGCATTTTTTTTCAAGATGATATTTTAACCGTTTAAGCCTGGTACTTACTTCTCGACTGTTTTCTGATTGGCTTTTGAATTGCTGATGAGTGATTATAAAGGTTTGTTACACCCGATGAAGTGTCTTGGGCAACCATATTGTTTCAAGTTGTTGAATTTACAATTCTGGGAGCTTTGCAGAATGTGTTTTATCGCAAAAAAATGATATAATTTTTCAAAGTGTCTGAAAAAGATTTTGACATAAATCATATATCTTGAGGAGTTTTACAGTTTGTGTAAATGTTAAGCATCCTGTAAAACAATCAACAGTAATTATAAACCTACAAAGAATATCGCGACTTAGGAACATTGCTTCTCCCCAACTAGCAGATAAATTTGAGATTTAATTAAATTTCAGAAAATACTCATTTGATACATTTAGGTGTGTGTATAACTCTGAGATAAGATACCCTAGAATCTCTGACTCGCAACCCAGACAGACATTAGTGTATACTTAGCAGTAGATGATACGCCGTACAATTATAAGCTGAAGCTAACAAGGCTATCAGGCTATCAGGCTAACCAGGCTAATAGACTAACCCAGTTACCATGAGGCTAGCCAGACTTACCAGACTAACCAGGCTTACCAGACTTACCAGACTAACCAGACTAACCACACTTTACCAGGCTACCTGTAGGCTAACGGCTTTTGAAGTCAGGGATTCCCAGTCATCTGACTTTGTTTGAACAGGTGGTTTTGTAATATCTGTGTGTTGTGGACTGTAGATGGAAGGCTGCTACAGGTATCATACCTCAACCATATCCCTAGTCTGGAACCAGATCAAACCAGATGAGATGCATTTGACTAGTCTCCTGTAGATTGTTATAGACATTACAAAATTGTAAGGTTTGCTAATCTAATACCCACTGCAACAAGTGGTTTGGAGTGTTAGGCAAGAGAATTGATTCAATTTTTTTCATCATAACATTCAGTGAGATGATGGTTTCTCAATTTTATGCCCATAAAATATTGTAATGGCGTATTTTTTCAGATTAAGGTATATATTTCATCAATTTTACCTCTCCTTTAACAGGAAGGAAATTGCATATCAGTTGCTTTCCCTAAATCATACCGTCACATCCTACACATTAATGCATCTTGTCAATCAAGACCAAGTGTCAGTTTTTAATAGTTAATATGTTACTCTTTACACCATATAGGTTATGTTTTTTTTAGTTCTAGCAAGTCGGTGTAGTGTTGGGTCAATGGCTGTGTTTGGTGGTATAGCAGGTCAGTGTAGTGTTGGGTCAATGGCTGTGTTTGGTGGTATAGCAGGTCAGTGTAGTGTTGGGTCAATGGCTGTGTTTGGTGGTATAGCAGGTCAGTGTAGTGTTGGGTCAATGGCTGTGTTTGGTGGTATAGCAGGTCAGTGTAGTGTTGGGTCAATGGCTGTGTTTGGTGGTATAGCAGGTCAGTGTAGTGTTGGGTCAATGGCTGTGTTTGGTGGTATAGCAGGTCAGTGTAGTGTTGGGTCAATGGCTGTGTTTGGTGGTATAGCAGGTCAGTGTAGTGTTGGGTCAATGGCTGTGTTTGGTGGTATAGCAGGTCAGTGTAGTGTTGGGTCAATGGCTGTGTTTGGTGGTATAGCAGGTCAGTGTAGTGTTGGGTCAATGGCTGTGTTTGGTGGTATAGCAGGTCAGTGTAGTGTTGGGTCAATGGCTGTGTTTGGTGGTATAGCAGGTCAGTGTAGTGTTGGGTCAATGGCTGTGTTTGGTGGTATAGCAGGTCAGTGTAGTGTTGGGTCAATGGCTGTGTTTGGTGGTATAGCAGGTCAGTGTAGTGTTGGGTCAATGGCTGTGTTTGGTGGTATAGCAGGTCAGTGTAGTGTTGGGTCAATGGCTGTGTTTGGTGGTATAGCAGGTCAGTGTAGTGTTGGGTCAATGGCTGTGTTTGGTGGTATAGCAGGTCAGTGTAGTGTTGGGTCAATGGCTGTGTTTGGTGGTATAGCAGGTCAGTGTAGTGTTGGGTCAATGGCTGTGTTTGGTGGTATAGCAGGTCAGTGTAGTGTTGGGTCAATGGCTGTGTTTGGTGGTTATAATATTAATGAAGGTTTCGTTAAAGATGCAATGCGCATGTCATGTGAAGATTTGTGTAATTTGGGATGGTGGATGTTTTTGAAGATGTATTGTCTCTATACTGCCTGATACTTAAGTATCTAGTACTTCTGTCTGTAAGATGGTAAGCTAATATTATAGGACATATTGAGTGATTGTAGTTCTATAGCCTACAATCGGAGGATGGGTAGGCCCTGAGGTGTAATACTACCTAGTTTGAGATCCAGCATGGTTCAGTCGACCTCCCCACCCTCGGCCTGTTAATGTGTTAAACTCTGTCACTAGTCAGTGTTGTTAGTGGTTTTGATTTCAATGTAAAAGATACTTGGTTATTAAACTATATAATGACAGGTCCAATGTCTTCTGGAGCTCTTTTACTTGGTGTCTTGTTTAGAGAATAAAAGAGACCTACAATCCTTATGTCTCTGTTCCACAATAATCTATTGATATATTGTCAGATCATTGTGCTTTCTCTCGGGTATCTGTTTCCTTTCAACATTTTGTATTAAAATTACTTAAAGCGTCTCTAAAATATGTAATTCAGACACATTTTTACGGTGTTGTCAGCTAGACCAAACAGCAGACAGCATGACCAGCATACCAACTGCATAACGGGACAGTAGGACTGACAGGGCGTCAAAAGAATTTGTTTTAAGACTTAAGTTTTTCTATACTGACCGGATTAAATATCTTTTGTGGAACTTGTACTTGAACTCATGCAATTCTTGTGAAACCTGTTGAGGAGTTGACAGAGGACAGAAAATGGAGGATTGGAAGAAAGAAGGTATGGCTGGTTCATGAATAGCAGGGTTTAATGTAGATTCATTAGGGGATAAATAAAAAGACGCATATATATGTTTGTTACACGGAATCAAACTGTTTGTTTGTCAACAACACTGACCACAACATGTACACATATACTAAGTTAGGGTAGGGTGCAATTGTTTGGTACTTGACCTCCTGAAGTGCTTTGAACCATGTAAAACAGATGTGAGGGATATAACATGTACTGTACGAGTGAGAGAAAACCACACTTATGATTCTAATTCACTACGTTCAACCGAACATAAAGCATTTATCATATAAAACTCAACACCTATGTATGGGAGTGGCCTTCGACGGTCAATCATTTTCGAATCACACATACAGGGGTCCTTATGGGGACATAACGACCCCCCTCCCCTCAGCACCGTCTGTGGTGGGAAGTTCTACTATACAGAAACTATCACAGTGTCACTAGGTCTTTATGTAACTTCTATTTTAATTCAGGATCCCCCCACCCCCCTTCACAATACTTCACCCCACCAGCGTATCTTTTCAACTTTAAGGTATTGATATGTCAGAAAAAGAAATATATTGTGAAATAAAAGAGTAATTTTTCCATTGGCCACTGCCATGTAGGCTACCCGACTTGCTTAAAAATGATATATTTTAGAAAAGTTTAACATGATATTACTTATATTACTTCATTGTAAGTAAATGTCTTTTGTCTATTAACTGAACTACATAGGAACATGTTGATTTTCTCTTTGATGCAGATTTGGTGTTAGACAGTTAGATGTATTGACTGTTCAAAATCCCTGTTGTCAGCAGAGGACTATTGGCAGTTGTCAAAAATAGTGTATGTACTGTATGTACTGCTGTGTCTCCCGTTTCCTCTATGAATGTACCGGTATGTACTACTCAGCCAGTGCTGTTTCTGCCCCCCTCCCCTCTATACGCACTGCTGTGTCTTTACCTCAACTGTCCTGTATGTACTGCTGTATCTGCTCCCTCCCCCCTTATATATGTACTGCTGTATCTGTTCCCTTCCCCCTTATATATGTACTGCTGTATCTGCTACCTCCCCCCCTTATATATGTACTGCTGTATCTGCTCCCTCCCCCCTTATATATGTACTGCTGTATCTGCTCCCCCCCCCTTCTATATGAACCGCTGTCTCCCCCTCTTTTTTATGTACTGCTGTATCTGCCCCCTCCCCCCTTATATATGTACTGCTGTCTCTGCTCCCTACCCCCTTATATATGTACTGCTGTATCTGCTCCCTCCCCCTTCTATATGAACTGCTGTGTCCACCTCTTTTTTATGTACTGCTGTATCTGCTCCCTCCCCCCTTATATATGTACTGCTGTATCTGCTCCCTCCCTCCTTCTATATGAACTGCTGTGTCCACCTCTTATATATGTACTGCTGTGTCTGCCCCCTATGTTTACTGCTGTGTATGCCCCCTATATGTACTGCTGTGTCTGCCCCCCTCTTATATATACTGCTGTGTTTGCCCCCTATGTGTACTGCTGTATCTGCCCCCACCATATATGTACTGCTGTGTCTGCCCCCACCCTATATGTAATGCTGTGTCTGCCCCCCTCTTATATATACTGCTGTGGCTGCCCCCTATGTGTACTGCTGTGTCTGCCCCCACCCTTTATGTAATGCTGTGTCTGCCCCCCCCCCCTACGTAATCCTGGGCCTGCCCCCCCCCCCCCCCCCATGTCTTTCTGTGTCTGCCCCCCCCCCATATGTAATGCTGTGTCTGCCCCCACCCTATATGTAATGCTGTGTCTGCCCCCCTCCCCTTATGTGTACTGCTGTGTCTGCCCCCCTATATATACTGCGGTGTCTGCCCCCCTATATGTACTGCTGTGTCTGCCCCCACCCTATATGTAATGCTGTGTCTGCCCCCCTCCCCTATATATACTGCTGTATCTGTTCCCTCCCCCCTTATATATGTACTGCTGTATCTGCTCCCTCCCCCCTTCTATATGAACTGCTGTGTCCACCTCTTTTTTATGTACTGCTGTATCTGCTCCCTCCCCCCTTCTATATGAACTGCTGTGTCCACCTCTTTTTTATGTACTGCTGTATCTGCTCCCTCCCCCCTTCTATATGAACTGCTGTGTCCACCTCTTATATATGTACTGCTGTGTCTGCCCCCTTCCCCTCTATATACTGCTGTGTCTGCCCCCACCCCCTATGTAATGCTGTGTCTGCCCCCCTCCCCTTATGTGTACCGCTGTGTCTGCCCCCCTATATATACTGCGGTGTCTCCCCCCCTACACCCCATATATACTGCTGTGTCTGCCCCCACCCTATATGATCTAACGTGTCTTGCCCACACTCTGTATGATTGTTCTATTATAAGCATTGATATTATATATGTACTGCTGTATCTGCTCCCTCCCCCCTTCTATATGAACTGCTGTGTCCACCTCTTATATATGTACTGCTGGGTCTGCCCCCTATGTTTACTGCTGTGTATGCCCCCTATATGTACTGCTGTGTCTGCCCCCTTCCCTTATATGTACTGCTGTATCTGCCCCCTTCCCCTCTATATACTGCTGTGTCTGCCCCCACCCTATATGTAATGCTGTGTCTGCCTCCCTCCCCTTATGTGTACTGCTGTGTCTGCCCCCCTATATATACTGCAGTTTCTGCCCCCCTATATGTACTGCTGTATCTGCCCCCTTCCCCTCTATATACTGCTGTGTCTGCCCCCACCCTATATGTAATGCTGTGTCTGCCCCCCTGCCTCCCTATATGTACTGCTGTGTCTGCCCCCTATGTTTACTGCTGTGTATGCCCCCTATATATACTGCTGTGTCTGCCCCCACCCTATATAAACTAACGTGTCTTGCCCACACTCTGTATGATTGTTCTATTATAAGCATTGATATTATATATGTACTGCTGTATCTGCTCCCTCCCCCTTCTATATGAACTGCTGTGTCCACCTCTTATATATGTACTGCTGTGTCTGCCCCCTTCCCCTATATGCACTGCTGTATCTGCCCCCTACACCCTATATAAACTGCTGTGTCTGCCCCCTTCCCCTCTATATACTGCTGTGTCTGCCCCCCTACCACCATATATATACTGCTGTATCTGCCCCCTACACCCTATATAAACTGCTGTGTCTGCCCCCTTCCCCTATATATACTACGGTGTCTGCCCCCCTACACCCTATATATACTGCTGTGTCTGCCCCCACCCTATATGAACTAACGTGTCTTGCCCACACTCTGTATGTTTGTTCTATTATAAGCATTGATATAATAAATTAAGGGTAAAGTATATTGTTGATAAGAATTGCTTTATATAGGTATTAATGAATATATGTTTCTTTATGACAGAAAAATAACATAAATTGCTTAAGGGTTATCAGTTACATGAGAAAATTTGTCGGCTAACATTTTAGAAAATATCTTTTAAACAATTTACGTCAGTAGTTGGCTTGGTGTTTCCTTTGAGGGAAACTGGACCAAAGTTGGGGAACTCATTTCATGTAAATGTGTTGAGCTATTGGTGAGCCCGGCTATAATCTGTTGGTTCAGCAGATCACCAAAAATCTTTAATGTCTCCTGGATATTTTCATTTGTCAATTATTCAAAATCAAGTTCTTAGTTTGTTTAATGAGTCTTTAGCACTGTTTTAATTTCATTAATCCAAAAAAAATGGGGCTTTAGAACATGATATATACAAGTCTATACGCTTCGGAATTTTACTATTTGGACAGAAACTGAGAAACGATAATGGGGATTTCTCTTGTTAGGAAAATATTTTTACTTTAATTTGATTGTCTGGTTTTTAAATACAGTAAAGTTATAGTGAAGTAGTTGTTGGAGTTTTGAAGTTACTTTGTACAAAGTAGGGCAGGTATCTGTTGTCATACTTGCTTTTATGTTTATCCTTATGGTTTTATAAGATTATTGAGAAGTGTATTTTTATTACTTTGTGTTCAGCAAGTTATAAGAACTAATGCAGGTTCATCCCAAAAAATAGTATATATTCTACTTGGCTTGGTTAAGGTAAAGTAAGCATGTGGGATAGTGAGACTAGGAAACTTGCTAAACTTGCCTGCAGTGTGCATTACCAGGAAAAACAAGACTTATACGAGGAAATACCAACCTTTACCCCCTTGAGGTGAAGAAGGACATTTTGATTAAGGAAATCTGGTGTACATCATTGCTTCAGGCAACAATGGGAGCAAAACCAAGGGGTAAATTAAAAAGACATCTATCCTTGTTTATTCATAGGTTTCATATTAATAAAAAAAAATCATTCTTTGATAAAAATTAAATTACCTGTAAGTA